CACACACATTAAACATCTTGTTTTGGGGGTACGAACACCACAGTACCTGTGTGAAGGTCAAAGGACAACTTGGAAGAGTTCTCACCTTAAACCAACCACCCACTAGAGTCACAGAAACTGAACTCTGGTTGTGGTTTTTCAGGCTTGGTACCTAGTAGGTGCCTTTTCCTACCACAAACCATCTCTTTTGCTCAAAGAACTTCTAAGTTTTTTAAGAAACAGATAAAAGTCCATACTGAATTCCTATGGATCAGTCACAGTAGAGAAACACTTACAAAACTTGCTATCAGATTTAACTAGGACTCAATTCACCTTAGTGACTGGCCAGTTGTTCTTTCAACCCAAAGACTTAAAAACCTACCTTATAACACACTTCAGCTGTTAGTCAATGACGAATTATCCAGACATTTAATTTCCACAAATTCACTTGTAAGACTTCAAAGGGGGAAATAGGATTTTCCCAGCATGGATACCATTCTACAAAATAAGACTTTCTCCCTCAGGAAGCCATATGCATGAAGATGGAAAGAGAGCTGTCCAGTTATGTGGCTTCTTCTCCCTGTGTGCATGCTATCAACCTCTCAACTTAGTGTTTTAAGTAATAAAGCCCCTAATGTGTACCAACACCTTCATCTGGCACTCAACTAAAAACTTGCTTCTAGAGTTCCTGGAGTTCAAACTTGTTATTTGTACTTCGGGGAGGTGCAACAAATGCACACTTGAAAATCACATTGAGTAATCTGTGAATAACTTTAATGTCTTAGTTTAGTTTAGATGATACATGCTAACTTTAAAACCTAACCAGATCCTCACTCCCACCCCCCCTTTTTGAGACCAGGTCTCATTCTGTACCCTTGGCCAACCTGGAACTCACTGTTATAGACCAGGCTGGCTTCAAACTCAGAGACCCACTTGCCTCTGCCTTCTAAGTGCTGGGTGTGCCTTACTAGACAGGGCGATTTTCAGATTTTTAAGTCAGCTCCATTCATTTCTTCTTTTGGTAACTGAATCTCACAACTTTCCCTTTGGATCTGTATTATCAGATGTGACTGAACTTCAGACTCAGAGCTAGAAGAAGTCAGTTATGTAAGTGGGTCCCTCCATCTCAGCTCACAGAGCTGGCTGCTGAGACTTCCAGTCACTGAGCTCCACAGTGTTATAAACCCCTTACTCATCATTGACAATGAGTATTTCTAGAGAGGCAAAAAAACTGAGTCATCTAAATCATCTAAAAGTGACTCTCCAACTTAGTGAACAAAAGCTCAGGCAAAGGTTAGCTCAGAGTACCTAGAGAAAAAGGAAAAACCAAAGGTAACATCAATTAAGCGTCCCTTTGGTCCCCAGAATTCTCAATGCTGATGGAACACTGCCTCTCACCGGTCTTTTGCTCTGTAACTGCTTTCCAGTGATCTCTAGAGAAGCCCCAGCCAATTAAGCCTTCTTTTAAAATTTATTTTTAGATATAATTGTTTTAAATTGTATCCTCTTTCATATTGTTTTATAATCTTTGATATAAGTTTAATTTTTTCTTAAACAAACCAAGAAAACCTCAAAATCAAAACAAAACCAAAAACCTATATACACCAGACACGGCAGCGTATCAATGGATCCTAGTACTCGCAAGGCCAGCCTGGGCTATACATTGAGTTCCAGGCCAGCTGAACGTACATGAGATGCTGCTTCAAAACAAACTAACATATGCTCAACACATGACATACAGTTATATGAAATTGTCCTTATGTAACAGTACCATTTAGGAACAATAAAAAATTTTAACTATGCACATTTAATTTTTGTTTGTTTGTTTGTTTGTTTGTGTTTTCCAAGACAGGGTTTCTCTGTATAGCCCGGGCTGTCCTGGAACTCACACTGTAGACCAGGCTGGCCTCGAACTCAGAAATCCGCCTGCTTCTGCCTCCCAAGTGCTGGGATTAAAGGTATGAGCCACCTCAGCTGGCCATTAATATTTTACTGTTAATAAAAAAGATTGCAGTAAATTTAAAGCCCCTGTTTGAAGTGTTTCATATGCCTTTTAAAGAAGAATGAAAATAACCATTCTTCACATACACCAAGATGTACTGTAATGAGCCTGTCTACCATCAGCCTACACAGGGCCAATCCTAAGTATGTTTCATCAAGCTGGAAGTCCCTAAAGCCCGTATCACATTCACAGCTTATATTTCTTGTTTTCTTTTAAATGTCTAAAGCAGAATGACAAATGTGCTCCACACTAAGATGTAAGAGACTTTTCAGATGTTGGAATTAAAGTAATAAATCTGAGAATCAGGTTTTAATAACATATAAAACACTGAAATAAAATACAAAGATACCGCTGACACACACCAAGACAGCATCACTAACGTTTCCAACTTGCTGGGCTCTAGGAGGAACACTGCAGCTGTACCATAAAACCTAGCGTACACAATTTTCTTTTCTGCTCACCTGCATCTTTGAGGATCCAATGACAGCAAAAGTACTCTCTTTCCAGAGCTTCCACACTCAATGCATGGAAGGGAGGGTCAATCTGGGATCTATTAACTCTAGGGAATCACAGGGTGCCGTGAAGGCTGTAGGGAACGATAGCTTTGGATCATAAAGCCTTTGCTAATCATATACCCTCCAATGAGGTTGAACCAGTTATCATACAGAAAGTGGGAGCCTGAGCATACAAGTTAAGGCTGCCTGCAGTATAGTGTTACTAACTGTGCCGTGGCCACAATGCCTGCTTCTGCTACATGCCCACTATGCTATACAATATGAAGGCACCAGACACCGTACCATTTCATCCCTAAAAAAGACCTCTACCTCTTACCTAGACTCTGAAGGCTGCTTTGATCTAGTCAGCCACTGTTGACAAGTGTCATCAAGTTGGCCCTTTAATTCCTTTGCTGATAACACACTGGGCTTCAGAAGGCGGCCCAATCCAACATTAAGACAAACCTGAAAAACTACAAAACTCCCTTCTAATTTGACTGGTCTGATTTGAGTACATTTTAAATGGTACCCGACTCTGTGTACTTATCAAAAGTTTGCTGAAAAATGCCTCCTCTATTTGGAACTCAAAGCTCATGAGACCTGGAACAACTGAAGACAGGTACAAGATTCTCACAGGAAAAGCCACGCCTGTCCTCCTGGTCCCCGGAATTAATCAGCATCATCATTATCAAGTTACTCAAAAATAACATCAGTCCTGTCTACAAACAGCTCATCTCCAACAATTCTATTTATAATTGTGATTTCATAACACAGTCAATCAAAGTGATGTAAATATAGCCGAAATCATTATTTATTCATTAAAGCCTGTTTTTTGAGAATTCCAACTTGTCTAAGTCACCTTTGACAGATCTTTTATTGCATTACTTAAAAAAAAAATTGCAATACAGAGCTGGGCATGGGGAGGGCACCCCTTTAATCCCACAACTCAGAGGCACAACAGTCAGATCTTTGTGAGTCTGGTCTACACAGCAAGTTCAAAGCCAGCCAGAGCTACACAGTGAGACTCTTGCCTGAGATAACAAAACCAAAAATTAACTAACTAAAAACTACAATGTATTAGTAAGTTCCACTTCCGGGACATACAGCAATCTGATACAAATGAATGTTTCCTTGTCAAACAGGAACTATATTGGATAGTTTTCATCCTCAAGTGGAACTGGACAAAAAAGGTTGGTAAATATTTTGCCAACAGTGATTGATTTACTTGAATCAAATTAAAAAAAAAAGAAACGGTAAACTGACAGTTACTTGGTTAAACCGGCAAAACTGAATTCTTAAAGGGCCCCTTAGGGGCTCTTTCTTGGGCTGTCTCTGGAGTCAAATGATGGAGACAGTACTGAGAAGGGTCCCCCGCAATCAGCTCCTCTTTGCTCCTCCAATAATTAAATTCCCTGCAGGGGCATAAAGCAGATTCACCTAATAAATTAATTCAGTCTAATTCCCAAATTGTATCAGACTGCTATTTCATTTAAGTTTATAAAGTAAATATGCAATTCCCCCTCCTCTTTGATAAGAAATACATTTCCGGAGAAATGAATATTCCTTACTTTTCCAGGATGACCTGAAGCATGAATGCTGATTTAAACCAACTAACCCGGCCACAAAAAACATCCCCACAAAAGGCAACACCTTATCACTCCAGTATACACACACAGTAGCTACCACTTTACAGCCCAGAAAGCTGCTCCTCTGATAAAGCTCTCCTGATAAAATCACCCATCTTATCTAGTCGGGTCATTCTGCCAGGTGAAATTGGTTTGCCTTATCACAAAATGCGTAGCGCAGTATTCTCGAATATCCTGTGTGATAGCTCTTACTTAAAATCCAGTCAGAATCAATCCAGTATCTATGTGTACTCAAATACTGTCAACTTCAACTCAGCTTAGTGTCTGCTAACAAACAAACCCATAAAACAAAACCGAAGTTCTTTCATTGGCTTCTCAATGCTCGAAATAGCTTACTTCCAACTCGGAATACAGATACCAAGTTTGTCAAGCACTGCCCCACCCCTAGCAAGAGCGGACGACTGGAACGTTTCAGGGCACTCCATCACGTAGTACAGCTACAAACTTCATACTGACCGACGCCAGTGCACATTCTCCAGGCCGGGCTGATTGTACGCTCTCCCCAGTAAACACGTCATCAACATCCAAGTTCAATGAGGGTAAGAGGCGGTAACACCTACAGACCCGTAAAACCACATTCACAACTTTCACCTGCATTCTCTCCTCGTTGCTTTCAACAAGTCGTCCCGGGAATCCGCAGTTAAGTATTTGGTAGGCTCGAATCACACTACTTTATGTAAAAATCAAGATAACAAACAGGACGCAGAGAGGAGCGAGTCTGTGCGCCCTAATATTAACAAATTTCGCATTTTAAGCACAGCACACGCCGGGTGCTGGGATCTCCCAATTCCACCCCTCCCCCCCCCTGCAGTCTTCCCTCCCCACCCCCTCCTCACATTCTGGGAAGTCTTCATTGGAGGCATCAGGGGTGCTACTCACCGAGTTTTTCCACCAACTTCAGCATCACCCCTCCGATGTGCACCTCCCCGGTCACTCTCAGGGTGACATCACGGTTCAGATCCGTGACATGGACGCTCAGTTCCCACGTCCCGTCCGCGTAGCAGCCATCTGGCATCCTTATCCCGTCCAGAGCCATGGCTCCTTCCTGCGAGCGCGGAGGAAATGGCTCTCGTCAGCGTCACTCCCCCAAAGGAAGACAAACCCCACCGAGTCCGCGGCGCCGGCCGCTGCGAGGGAGAAGGCAGAGGAGCCGCGGCTAAGCGCGCACACCCGAGGGCGCGAGCGCGGGCGACTCAGCACCCAGACCGTGGCCTCCGCCCGCCGCACCCGCCTAGCGGACTCGGGCGCCTTCACCTGCCGCCGCTGCGCCCGGCCCGCCCCGCGCCTCCCTACCCGGCCCGGGTGACCGCGCTGCGCCGGCCCGCGCTCCGCTCCTCCCGCAGCGTCCGCCCCGCGCTCCGTTCTCCCGCTGCGCCCCTCACCGTGCTCCTAACGCCCGGCTCCTGCGGCAACAGGCGAGGCCGGCGGCGCCCGCGTCGCTGCTCTGAGGGAAGCGAAGCCTCCCGCCGTGGCTAATGGAGTCCCGGCGCCGCGGCCCCCGCCCCACCCCCTCTCCCCGCCCCGGCCCCCGCCCCGCAGCACCGCCCGCAGTCCGCCTCTGCCCCCCTCCTCTTTGGCTTTCCTCGGGCCGCGCTCCCGAGGGCGCGGCGCGCGCTTTGGTGGGGCCGGGGCGACGCGCGCCTCGGGGGAGCGCCGCGGGGGGAGGCGGCGGCTGCAATCTCGGCCCTGCGGAGCGCTGCCCTTTTATGGAAATGAAGGACCAGGCGCAGGGATGGAATCCAACATCCGGGCTCTCGACTGCGGAGCTGGGGAGGGGGCGGAGGCGCGCGGGGCCGAGGCGGCGCCTGCTGCGGGGTCCGGGGTTCGTGCGTGCGAAGCCGTCTCGGGAAGTTCCCAGGCCCCGGGACGCGTACGGGGAACCCGGGCGCGAGGGTACCGCGCCGGGGAGCTAGGCAGAGAAGTTGGGATGCAGAAACTTTACGATGTCTGCCTTGAACATCCCACAAAAGTAGGAGAAAGGACAGAGGGGAGATGAGCCAAGAAAGTTCCCTGGCAAGCAGGATCCCGCACCAAATCCGCAGCTCCTGCTGGACCCCCGAGAGTTGGCGAGCATTACTAAACCCTTGGACCCAGGTGCCTGCCGGACGCAAGAGCGTGGCCCATGCGCTCTTGCTGGAAAGGGGGACCCCCCACCCCCGGCAGTGGTTTACCCGAGACCGCTTCTCCACCCTCGCCAACTGTTTGCGCGTACTTGGGACTTTTCCTATGCAACTTCGAGTACTGGGTGTTTTGGATGCACGCTCATTCTCTGCCTTACCCTCCGACATACTTCGAAGACATTTAAGTAGCTTTGAACTGGGGTTGAACTGTTAAAGACTGACTAGTGATGGAGACCGGTCCCAGACGACCCACTTCCACGTTCGCGTTAACTATTACACTCTGTTGAAGGGAACTGTTGAGAATCAGCGAGCCAGGGATCGACTCTTAAAGCACTCCATGACTCAAAATTATTTAAGTCTGGAAGAGTCAGATAAGACACTGTAATGGACCTTGGTTTCAAAGAACTGTCTGGACTTCATGAACTGCCCTAGACACTTAAAAGGGGGAATCTACCGCGCAGATAACCCTTTGTTCATCAATACACCAGCAAAAGAAAAAACACAGCCTCCAGAAAGGGGTGGATACCCTTAATGGAGTGAAAGCAGGAAAACTTAGTCAAATGCCAGAGGTTTGGGAGTGGAAAAAAAAGGGAAACCACTCTACTAACACTAGCTAGTCATCATGGAGAAACTGATGCCTCACTCCAGTTATTTCTACTTGGTAGACATTGTGAGTGGTTTACTTAGAAGCAGTGTTGATGAAATTATGTTCTTGGAAAAAATATAGGAGAATATTTTTAATAATATAGAGAATTAATTGCTTGGGTTAAAAAAATAAAAAATCTGTACAAACCAGGCATAGTGGCACATGCCTTTTAATCCTAGCACTTGGGAGGCAGAAACAGGCAGATTTTTCTGAGTTCAAGGCCAGCCTGGCCTACATAATGAATTCTACCTACGATAGCCTTGGCTATTAGAGAGACTCTGTCTCAAAAAAGCAAACAAACAAAAATCTGTAGAAAAATGTATGTGCCTCTGTAAAATCAAGAACTCACCCATTTTTAAATATTCAGAAGGAAATTCCCCAAATGTTAATTATTGGGTGTTGTGGTTCTAAGAGGTTTTCTTTTGATAGTTGGTTTTAGTCTTTCTTTTCCTAACCAACTCAAAACCTGCCGCATCCTGTACTTTTCTGGTACCACTAAGAACTGCATTCACTGCCACAATCTCTCTCTGTGTGGTGGACAGACTAGCCACAGCAGCTACCAGATTCATGGCAAGATTTTTATTTGTTTTTTCCTGTGTGCATGGTGTGTGTGTGTGTGTTTCCAAAGCTAACTATACATTTATGTTATCTACACATTTACAAATAGGTTGGTGCAAAAGATAGAAAACATATTGGTACCAACTAAAAACAAATATCAAAGAAAAAGGGATCTATCCCATGGAGAAATCCCGTTATTAAAGAAATCCCTTCGTGAAAATTTTACGAATGTTTGTTCCTCGCTGCATCTGTTTGGTTTCCTTATCTCTAAAAGATCTGCGTCAAAGTAAAAGGATGCATAAACCAAGAGGTAGCAGACATTACAAGTGGCTCAAAACAAGAAAAAGGTGTATGTGTTTGAGGCTTAGGGGAGTGTGGTAGTTAATTGAAATGAAATGAGGAATGAGGCCCGGAATTATTCCTAGTGACATGAGCGTGCATTCCAGTAAGCCCAGACTTTTCTCTAACATGCCTTAGCACCAAAAATACCCATGTCCTTTCTGAATATTCCTTTTTCTCAGACAAACGTGTTGAAGCCAAGTGTGGTGGTTCATAGCCCCTTAAGCCTCAGCTTTCACATTCTAGCTATTTCCAAGTGAGCTACTTTCTGAACGACCTTCCACTCTAGCCTCTGCCACTCGGGCAGCCATGTTTCTTTAATCTACTTCAGTAAATGTTCCCTACAATTATTGGTGGTGGTGGGGTTAATATTGTAAATAACTGCCCTACTTAAATTATAGTTTTGAAGAAACTTTATGCTGCCCTAAAAAGCCAGTAGTATGTTTGAATGGAATTGAACTTCAGGAGGCAGAGACCCTTGGTTAAATACCTTTGGAAGAATAATTAGGGTGGGTGCAGCCTGTTCTTTCAGACCTTAGCTTTGAGTATTTCAAGCTGTTGCTGCTTTGAAGATTTATGAGGAGCCAAAACTCAAACCTTTGAGACCAGAATATTTTCCCCCTTCTAGTTCATCAAGTGAGATCTTCAAGTGCATTTCTTAAATATTTGCTTCTACCTAATGTTTTCTAATGTATTCAAATGTAGGCTCTTATCTGAACCCCCACTAGAACCTCTAAGACAACTCAATACTTGTGGGACTTACATCATGCCGAAAAGGAGCCGAGAACTCCAGTGTTTGGAAGAACAGCTCAGGCTTTGAAAGCAGCAATATCCAAATAAGGTACCAAGCACTGGCCTTAGATTTAGACCAAATGATACCTCACAGATCTGTCACCAGATCCAACCCCGGGCTTGGTAATCCTCAGGTTGACTTCAGCTCTTTCTCTGGACCTACTTATGGTGTGCTTTAAAAGTTATTTTAAAAGATTAATACAAACCACAATCATGGGGTTTAAAGGAGAGAGGTTTCAAGCATGAATATGTAAGATGGGGCTTGAATTTTAAATGAAGCCAGCAAGATGAAATATAATGAATTATTTCTATCGAATACCGGGTAAGCAGATTGCCAGGGATGAAAAGCTACCAAGGAGACAGAAATCAAGGAAGGTAGGGTGGAAAGAAGGTTACACAGCTACCGTTTTGTTATAAGTGTCTAGGCCCTGTGAGGTGGAAGAGAGGGTGGGGAGAGGGATGAGGGGAATATAAAAGACAGGGAAGCTATGGAGCAAAGAAAAATGTACAAGCTTTCATAACGGAACAAATGAAGGGCTCTGAGGTAACCATGCCAAGAAATATGCAGTACTTGCATATACTGTTTTCAGGGGGTTTTGTTGCTGTTTTTACTTTTTAAGGAAAATCATGGCAGGCAGGTCTGTGAGTTCAAGGCCAGCCTGGTCTACAGAGTGAGTTCCAGCCAGCCAGGGCTACACAGAGAAACTCGGTCATGAAAAACCAAAAACCTGCCAGGCAGTGGTGGCGCATGCCTTTAATCCCAGCACTTGGGAGGCAGGGGCAGGGGCAGGGGCAGGGGCAGGGGCAGGGGCAGGGGCAGAGGCAGGCGGATTTCTGAGTTCGTGGTCTACAGAGTGAGTTCCAGGACAGCCAGGGCTATACAGAGAAACCCTGTCTCGAAAAAACAAAACAAAAAAAAAAAAAAAAGGAAGGAAGGAAGAAAGAAAGACAGACAGGAAGAAAGGAAGGAAGGAAGGAAGGAAGGAAGGAAGGAAGAATTTGAGTGTTTGAACATCAGAATAGGTCATGAACTTTGACAAAAATATCCAAGGTTCACATACACTTATAACAACATGGTTGTAATTGTATTGGGCACTGAAATACCCAGGCAGATGCCAAGAATGAAGATAGACCAGTGCCTCACACTATACAAAATGTGAACTAAACTGAAATGGACTGTAGATTTGAAATTTAAGTTCTAAAATTGTAACATCAAACTATAACATTCTTAGAGGGAACCCGGCACTAGCCCTCCAAAATGCTGGATAAATCCGGCAGCAGCTTGCTGAATAAGACATAAAGCGTAAGTCACAAAGGAAATTAGATGAATTGGGTTTTATCACAATGTAACGGACAGGTTGGTGTGAGTCAATGGCAGAACACTTCCTCAGCATGCCTTCCAGCATAGGTTCAGTTAACAGCAGCTACATGGCAGCTCACAACCATCTGCAACTCTGGTTCCAGGGAATCCAATACCCTCGTCTGACCTCTGTGGCCACCAGGCACACATGGTGACAGACATAGATGCAAGCCCATAAAATAACTTTTTTAATGTAGGGAATAAAGTCTATACATATATTTACAAATAATTTCTGTTAAGGAATTTTATCTAGAATATACAGAAACCTGTTACAGTAATATGAAATAAATAGATTGTTATTTATCATTATTATTTTGTTTTTTAGACAGGGTCTCATTATGTTGGCTTGGCTGGCTTGGAGCTCTCTATGTAGACCAGGTTGGCCTTGAATTCACAGAGATCTACCAGCCTCTGTCTCCTGAGTGCTGGGATTAAAGGCATGTGCCCCAACCCCTGGAAATAGATAAATAGTTTTTAATGAGCAAGGGATACTAGTAAACAGGAGACATATGAGTGGCCATAAATATCGAAGAAGATGCTTAGTGTCATTAGCCATCAGGGAAATGCAAGGCAGTGCTACAAGGAGTTACTACTTCATACCTACTACAATAATTACAGTGTAAAAATATGGCAATAGAACATGCTGGCTAGGATCAGGAAACATCAGAAAGCCGTTGTTTGTGTAGATAACGCTTGACAATGTGTAGATAACATTCTTGATCACGTTTACCCCATTTCCTTCTCGTATCTCCCTGACTCCCTCTGAAATTCCTCCTTTCTAACAGATTGTTCTTCTATTCTCTTACTGAGTTTAGGCAGGGCTGCTTGAATGTGGGATTATTTATTGGATCATGGGCAATTGACCAGTAGCTACACCCTGAAGAAAAATGAGTCTGTCTCCCTAGAAACCTTTACTTGGCAGTAGTCCCTCAGCTGAGGGTAGGGCCTGATGGTCTATGCCCAAAGATTGTTGATGGGATATTGATGGCTTATTTTTTTAAAATATTTATTTATTTATTTATTTATTTTATGTATATGAGATTACAGTTGCTCTCTTCAGCAGAAGAGGGCATCAGATCCCATTACAGATGGTTGTGAGCCACCATGTGGTTGCTGGGAATTAAACACAGGACCTCTGAAAGAACGGTCAGTAATCTTAACCTCTGAGCCATCTCTCCAGCCCCTTACGAGACCTCTTCAGGTAAGCACAACTACTGTCATCAGGCGTGTTTCACAGCACTACCTCTCCCCCCTGATCCCTATAGCAACTGCTGCTCGGACATATTGCTGAAAAGAATACAAAATGCCAGTTGCTTTGAAACAACTTGGCAATTCCTCAAGAAGTTAAACATGGGTGTATTGTAAGCTATCAACCAAATTCCTAAGCTGAAACTCTAACCTCCAAAGTAGTAGTACTGAAATGAAGGCCACAAAGGCACCTTTGATTGTATCATTGGCTCTTATACATGTCGTAGCTAGAATGCACCGTCTATGAAACAAAAGGGGTTCTTACTAGACACAAATGGACTTCCCAGCATCCAGAAACTCTCTTATTTATAAGGTGCCTCAGTATGGTACTTTGTAATCCAAGTAGGCTAAGACACTATATAAGCCAGAAAGTCTACTCCTGGACATATAACAAAATATTTAATATATAAAAACGTGTCCACCATAGCTGAGGGTGTGTAGCTCAGCATCCGTGTGCTTGCCTTTGCATTTCCTGAGCTCTACATTCAATCTCCAGCACTGTGAACAAATGGAGGGAAAAACCTCAAAAACCCTAGAAGCCTTGTATATGAATATTCATAATGTCTAAAAGATGAAAATAACCTGAATGTCTTACAAATAATGAATCTATACATAAGATATCCAGGCAACGGCATATCTTTAATGTTTTTTATTAGTGTATATTAGTTATAGACGATGATGGGTTGACAATCAGTTTGGTTGTTTTCATACACATATTACTCCTGCTTGTCCTTTCTACTTCAGACACTTCTTCATCTACCCAACTTATGCCCTCTCTACTTCCATGTTTCCATGTCCGTGTGACTCAGTGAGTTCACAGGGTCATTTATAGAAGTGTGGGTGAGGAGTTGTTGGTGGGATGATGGGCAACTCACCAGTGGCTACTCTTCAGAAGAAAACGTCTCTCTCTGCCATCTACCTGTTCACTTGTATTATAAATCTTCAGGGATGGGTGGGGCCCCATGAGCTCCTCTTCTCCATGATGGGATGTTGCTGCCTGGCCCATGCAAAGGAATATGGTTCAACCTAAGGGGAAAAGGACAAAGCAAACAAACAAACAAAACAAACAACCAATGTAGCACTTTGTCTGCCATGTTTGAGGCCCTGGGATTGATTCCTGTTATGGTTTAAATATGAAATGTCTCCTGTTGGCTCATATGCTTAAATGCTTGATCCCTGGCGTTGTTTTGGGAGGTTGTAGAACTTTGGGGTTATAGTGCCTAGCTGGTTAGTGTAAGCCACTAAGGGTGGACCTCCAAATACACAGCCCCAGCCTGTGTTCATTCTGCACTCTGCTTTCCAGTCCACACACAACTGTATCCATCACTGCTCCTCACTACGTGGGATCCACCAAGACTTCTCCACACTTCCAAATTCTAATCAAAGTTAATCCTTCCTGGTGTTGGCCCAGTATGGACTGGTCTTCTAGAGGACCAGGGTTCAATTCCCAGTGCCCACATGGAGGTCCACAACTATCTGTAACTCCACTTCTAGAGGATTCAATGTCCTTTTCTGGCTTTCTCCAGCACCAGCATTTTTTTTGTGATGCACAGACACATGTATAGGCAAAATGCCTATACACATAAATTTTTTTAAAAAAAGCTTAAAAAGACTCAATTCTCTTGAAGTTTCTGTGAGGGTCACTGACATGAAAGTAACTAACACAATCTTGGTCATTACACATGCACATGGAACACGGATACATGCTACTTTGGAATCATACTGAACAACTGAAGTCAGTTACACACAAAAGACTGTTACGTGATTCCATTTATATGGAATATCCAGAATGGGGCAAACCACAGAGACGAATAACCTCAGTGGCTATCAGGAGGTGCTGTGTAGGTCATTTGAAACATTCCTTCAAATAACCTGAGTTTTTCCTCCCATACTGAGGATTGAACTTGAGATCTCTGACATGCTATACAAGTGCTTTACCACTGTGCTATAACCCCAGCTTTCTTTTTGTTGTTGCTGTTGTTTTTGTAACTTAGAGGCTAGGTTCTCACTAAATTGCTCACACTGGCCTTGAACTTGTTCTGTAGTCCAGGTAGGACTTGAACTCAGATCTTCTTACTAGTAGGTAGGATGAAAAGACAGCCCCCATACTCAGAGTGTAATATGTGCTGCTCTCTAACACACACACACACACACACAGACACACACACACACACACAGACACACACACACAGACACACACGCACACCTTTAATGGTTATAAACCGATACCCTGAGAGGTTACCTGCCTATGCAACTCACCTTGGACCACATAGCTAGCAGGTGGAAGAACTTAAAATGGAGTTTTGGTTTGAAAACGATAGAACTGCTTCAAAGCATTCCCGCGTGGATGATGATAAGAGCCATGGAGTCACTGGATGGAGAAAGAGATGCTGAGCGAGTTCAGGGTGCTGGGGGAAGCTGAAGAGATTTCATAAGGAAAAAAAGGTTAATCTTGGGGGCTCAAGCAATGGCTCAGTGGGTAAGAACTGTTCTTGCAGAGAACTTGGGTTTAATTCCTAACGCTTTGGAAGATCTTTCTCTGAAGGCATTAGGCACATAACTAGTGCTTATTTATATATGCAGACAATATATACACATAAAGTAACATATATAATCATATATATCAAATATAATATATATCATACATAAAGTAATCATATCTATCTATCTATCCATCCATCCATCCATCCATCCATCTACCTATCTATCCATGAAATGTTAGACTTGAGATTAAAGCATTACATCCAGTGAGGAATTCTGCAGGGCAATTAGATAAGTATGCCTGGTAATCTTGAGAGAGGATCAAATCACACAAAAAATTCGTTGAGATAGAAGTGAACCCTAATGGATGATTTTACCTTTCCAAATGACATTGCTCCTTGAATAACAGTCTCTCAAAGGCAGAAGCAAGAAAAAAATACAAGTGTCATTCAAGGTGACTGAAGATAGAGAAGAAAGGACCAAAAGTGTTGGGGAAAATGAGGTCAGTCTAATGTTAGGCATGGGGGTAGGGGTGGTGGCGTGGAGAGAAGAAAGTAGAAATCAAGCATCCATTTCAAGAAAAGAAAGGCCACTCGCAGTATCAAATGATGCTGCAAGGCTCGAGAGAAAGTGGTACACTGCCCAAGACAATTGGATAGCCAACTGATGAAAAGCAAAATGTTAAAGGGAGGTTTGTTTGGAAAAGCTGAGCAAGAAATAAGATGGGGATTTGGGGGCAGGACAGGAGCAAAACCAGAGGTAACATACAAACTTTCAATGAGACCTGGTGGCTGGAGGGCTCTGAATAACTTCTGGCAGTGGAAAGGTACCGCCAGACAGACCAAACCAGAGTATAAACACATTTAAACAGATACAGTGGCTACTAGCCAATGGGAGGGTGGGGCCCCTTGGGCTATTGTGCGGCTTAGATGGACTTCCTCCAGGAGGTCAGAGCTAGGCCGGGATGTAAGAAGGGAAGGAAGGATGTGATTGAAAGATTATTTCAGTACAACTAGAACAGAGGCCTGTAAAGGAAAGTCAGCAGTGACGTCACGCATGCAAATGTGCCTGGCCTCCGGAAGCTGGCCTGGGAACAGTGAGGAAGGGCCCTACTTGTGAATGATTTGGGACCCGCCCTCACATTACAACAGGAGCTGCACCCCAGTCAGGGATGCTTGTTAATAAGTGGGCTAGGCTCTGTCCTGATTCCCAATGTTATTCACTGTGCAGTCGGTTTCTCCTGGTTTTGGGTAGCAGGCCTACATCTCCATTCTAAGAAAATGGTCTCTGGCTTTGTCCTTTGTTATCACCGTGCCCTCTGCAAACACATACACTCTTTGTTGGTCCCAAAGCAGGATTTTCAGGGCCACTGAAAGCCAAGCCAGACAGTCACCTCGATTCCAATTGCCCTGAGGCCAGTTTACAAGGACAAAAGTGTTTTGTTGTTTTTAATCTGCTAGGTCATAAGGAGGCTTCTCAGGTGACAGAAAATGTCCCAGCAGCTGAACAGCGCCACCTGGTGCCTGGGAGGTGTCACTTTGAAGCTTCGCTCTCCTTTGAACTAATCTCAACATGTCACTAAGGGTCACTGTCAACTGTAACACCAGTTCTAAGGGATCCGATGCCCTATTCTGGCCTCTGTGGGGATCAGGCATGCATGCGGTGCACAGACATACTGCAGCAAAAACAAACAAACAAACAAACAAACAAACAAACAAGGAATTTAGCCAAAGTCGGGGTGTAGTGGCACAGCCTTTAACCCCAGCACTTGGAAGTTATAGAAAGGCAGATCTCTGTGAGTTTGAGGTCAGCTTGGTCTACATAGAGAGTTCCTAGCCAGTCAGGGCTACACAGTGAGAATATTGTGCTCGCTCTCTCTCCCTCTCTCTTTTTGTCTCTCTTTCTCGGTCTGGTAAGATGGCTCATCAGGTAAAGACCCTTGCCATCAAGTCTGATGGCCTCAGTTCCATCCACTCACGAGTTGTTCTTTGGCCTCCCTATGCTTCCATGGAATGTGCAACTCCCTTCAATCCCCCCCCCCCAAGAGCCCAAATAAATAAATAAATAAATAAGTAAAAGCAGAGAAGATGGAAATGTTCGTGTTATATGTATTTTACCATAACAAAGATTGGGAAACAATGAGCTTCTCCCTGAGATGTCATTCCCTTTAAGATGGCCCACCCCCACATGATTGGCATTTGCTGCTTCTGATCACCCCCATTGCTATGTGTGCAGATTCTATTATCTGTGCAGGAAAAGCAGAAAAAGTAAGTCTTGATCATATGCATGCTTCCAGTACTCATTCATAGATAATGGTCCCTTGAGCATGAAACCATTTGAATGATACGTTTCAATGCAACATCTCTACTTTTTCAATTCCTTAAAAACTATTTATATTTCATTTTATCCCCTCCCAACCTGTGTGTGTGTGTGTGTGTGCGTGCGCGCGCGTGTGCGCGCCTATGTCCTCTATACTTCCATCAGAGGAAAACTGGCAGGAGTTGGTTCTTTCTTTCTGTGATGTTAGCCTCAGGGATAGAACTCAGGTTATCAGGCTTGGCAACAAGTACCTTTATCTACTGATCCATCTCAAGGACCCTCTAGTTCTGTTACTTTTTGCATTTCAGCACCAAATTGTCTCTGAAGAAACTAAAATGTATCATCTTTGATTTAAAGTTTGCTTTTGTGCTGAAGGCAATGGAGAAACATCAAGCAGAAGAAAGGCCCAGTCTGCTTCCTTTTCTCCTGAGACAGGACACAAATGGGACACAAATTTTCCTGTCCAGGTGATAGCTCTACATTGGAAACAAGAGTGTGCAAATACATTTTATTCATTCAGTTTCTTCCCACCATTTCGGACCCTTGGAAGCCTAAAATTGTTCTCCTTTGTGATTCCATTTCTCTGCTATTTCTTTTTGGCAGTGCTGGGGATTGAGCCCAGGTGTTGTGAACAGTAGCCAGTGTTCTACCAGTGAGCCCTACTCTCAGCCCTGTAATTTATTCCTCATTTTGTGTGTGTGTGTGTGTGAGTGTTTTACCTACATATATCTCCACTCACCGTGTGTGTAACTGGTGCCAGTGAAAGACAGAAGAAGGCATTGGGCACCCTAAGACTGGAGTTAAGACAGTTAAGAGCTACTTTGTGGATGCGGGAATTCAAACATGGTTCATCTGGAAGAGCAGCCAGTGCTTGTAACTGCTGAACCATCTCTTGACCCCTAGAGTTTGTTTGTTTAGAAAGGATCTGGCTATGCAGCCCAGGCTGGTCTCTGACTCTCAATCCTCCTGTCTCTGTCCCTCTGGTAGCACACGCCATTCTCCTGTGTCTGCAGGCTGGGGTTACAAGCATATACCACTACTCCACTCTAATTTTCTGATCTTGCTTGAAGTTGCTACATAAGCCAGGGATCTGAAGCTCTGCTTGGAGTTGTTTCCAGGAGACTTCTATGTGATGCTCACTAAGCGTGTTAATAATAATCTTGCTTTTGCTTCCTGATAGTTTTTATTGACTCCGCTATGAACTACAAGGGGTTACAAAAGAAGCCTTCTACCTTTGACAACTGTTTCAACTATCCCACTCAAACTGTTTTTCATATCACCGGTTACCTCCATGTTGGTAGGCGGGGTCTCACTATGTAGCTCTGACTGTCTTGAAACTCACCATGTAGTTCAAACTCAGAGAGATCCTCCTGCCTCTGCCTCTCAAGTGCTGGTATTAGAGGTGTGCCCATCACCACACCCAGCTCCAGGTTCTTTTTATGTCTTCTTCTTTTTCACAGATTCTCTCTCTAGATGATTTTCTTGTTTTGAGGCTGAAGTTCCCTATGCTGATGAGCCCCAGGTTTCTTGTCTAGACCTGTTCTTGGTGTGCCAGAATCATGGACCCATGTGAAACATTTCAGAGTACTACACTCAGGGTGAGACTCTGGACTTTGACAATGTCTGTATCATTCATATAATCAAATGGTACCCCACACTCACTTATGTAACTTAAAAACGAGGAGGCAAGCTTGGCTTCTATTTTCATTTTCTGCCTTTCTACGGTGACTAATTTAATGCTGAGTTCTGCTAGGCTGTGTCTGGAATAGATTCCAAATTGAGCCTCCATTTTCCATCCCCACCATCCCTCTGTGGTTTAAGCTATGGTTATCTCATTGAGATTATTTATTCAATAGCCTCCTGTGTGCTTTCTCCACTGTCCTTTCAGTGTCATACCACACAAGCTTCCTTGCCTTTCTGTCACACACCATTTCCTTGCCTGCAGGCCTTCCTGGGATCCTCTGTGTGAGTCAGCTCTGGAAGGCTCTATGATAGGAGCCACACATCCTTCCTGTCTGCTCACCTTATATTTCCCCATCTGCTTCTGTTGTCCTAGAAGACACACATACCAGACTATGCAGTTGTCCTACCTTTGCTTGCTCACTCATCTCCATGACACTCCAGTCACCTCTGAACCCAGAATGTGAGCCCCTAAAAGGAAGGAATCTCCTGACTCCACCCCACAGGCACCACTCTTGTCTTATAGCCACGCCCCAACTGAGCACGGTGCTCGGCACATGGCTAATGCTCGATAAATATTTACTGCCTGAAAGAAAGATCGAAAGAGGGTAAGTAAAAGAACCCCAGCTGTATGCCTTGCTTTGGGTCTATACTTCCAAGAAACTTAAACTCCCTTAGAGGGCCATTAGAACCAAGAACATAAACATTGCAGAGAAATATTGATGCGTTTCTCCAGCCACATGAATATTCAATAGTGTGCTGCTTCTGATGGTTGTACTGTAACAAGCTGTGTACACAGATCCTGCCGTAATCTCCTCATAGGTACGGTTCTGTAACCGCTTCCCCCAACCCATACCGCCCTTCAGTAGTCAACCTTGGCTCATGCCCACCAAGCCTAAATGCTTCTCCTGGAATGACTTCTGTGCCTCCCTGAAGCTGAAGCCTTCAGGAAGTAGCCACCTTGTCTTGTTCTACCAACTCTCTTTCAAGCCCTTTAGCCAGATCACAGTGCAGAGGCATCCGTATCTTCATTAGAAGTTGGTGCGTCTGTAACTGTATTCCATCCCCTCCTGGTCTCTATTCAAGAACTCTGGAGTATTGTTCAGGGACTTCAGCGTCCCTTCTGAACCAGGCGATCCCTCGCAGTGTTTGCTATGCTCAGATCTTCCCGTTTGCACCGGATGGAGGACAGCTCAGAATACCCCGCCCTTTCCCATTTCCTGGCATCTGACCTTTCCTTCCCAGTCAGACTTCCCAGAGACATTTACAGCTCTGTCTACGCCCTCATATCTCTATCTCCTTACTACCGTTTTTAGCACTATTGAGTCAGCTTCTTCCCTATCCCATAGTTAATGGGGGAATCATGAACTGCCTAAAAGCCGCTACAATTTGTATTTTTAAAAAAAAAAAGGAAAGAAGGAAGGATGACTTTTATCACAGGCATCAGAGTGTGTCACAGAAAATAGCTTACCACTAAAGCAAGTTGTAAAGTATCGTTACAGAGGCTGGACACAGGTACTTACTTCCCATCTGAGGAAATACGGAAACAAGTTTGAGGTGGTGAAGCAGTGTTCATGGCAAGCCCTTGTTTGACCTGACCAAACCAGAGTGGAGTTGCTGGAACTGGTGCCATGTGATCAACCTTGAAATTGACCAGCTTTCTGGAAATAGGATATTCATAGCAGTAATCACTCATTGACATAAGCTGGCATGAAAATTCCCCATGAGTTAACCCCATATAAGCACCTCTGGGTCTGGGACATTTCCCATTGGTAGAACACCCTGGGTTCAATCCTCTGCACTGATGATGATGGTGGTGGTGGTGATGAAGATGATGAGTTATTGAAGTATGATATTAAAATTTTTTGAAATCTAGAAAAAAGATTAAATTTTTTGTGGTGGCTATTATTGGTTGTTACCTTGATTGCATCTAGAATGAACTATAATTCAGAAATGGAGGGCATACCTGTGAGAGTTTTTGTTTTTCCCTTTGGTTTTAAGTGGGTGAATCCACTTTTAGTCCTCACCTTCCAGGTAGGAAGATACACATCTTTGATCCAGATCTTGAGTCAGGAAGACATACCTTCAACCTGGGCCATACCTTCTGCTAGAAACCTATATGGACATAGGAGGAGAAGCTTTTGTTTTGCTTGCTGGCTCTGGCCTTGCTAGCAAATCCATTCCTTTACTGGCATTAGAGCCCACTCTTTTGGAATTCCAGTGTGTACTGAAGACTAGTTGAGACATCCAGCCTTTTGGACTGAGCAACTTCTGGATTCTTGGACTTTTTGTTCTTACCCATCCATTGTTTGATTACGTGCACCACAGCCTATAAGTGCTTTTAATAAATCCCCTTTCTATATGTATAGAAAAGGAGATCCATTCTACAAGTCCTGCTACTCTAGAAAGCCCTGATTAATATAACCTTTAAGCAATTTTTTCTAATGGTGTTACATTTCTTTAACAGGCTTCAAATGAGTTATGGAAATAATCAGCTGAAAGAAGGTAAGGACTGTGCTACACATATGTATCTTAGTGTGCTCTTGTCTTCCTGGTAAAGATGTGAAACTTTCAGGCAGTTAACGGAAACAGAACATTCTCCCTGCATCTGCTGAGACTCAGTTGCCATTATTTCAAACAGCCCTGATGTCAACACAGCATGCTTGGGGGTGGCATGTTCTGATCCTTCAGAGTTCAGACACATCATGAACCCCATGTAAACAGCCAACAATTTAAATGATGTAAGGTTGATGAATCCTGTGCTGCACTCTCCCACACTGCCCTTGAGTAGTCAACCTTAGCCGTGCTGACTCGCTGCTCTCCCAGCATGCTCGAATGCACACCGTGGAAATGTAGTGCCAATGTCAGAGCCAACCTCATGGTGGCCTTTCCCAGAGGAAAAGCTCTCATTTTCCTGGATCTTGTGGCTACCTCTGGTACGGAGAGCCGTTTCCCCCCACAGCAGTCTGTTGGCTGCAGCATCACTGTGTGCCCTGGCCTCTCTTGGTTCTTCTCAGGCCCTTTTCCTCATTGTGACACATTTGTTTGGGTCCTCGAGTTACCGTCTGAAGATTTCCTTCTCTTGTCACTCAAAGGTCTCTTTCTAGGAGTGTCATCCCATGGTGCCAAACCCCAGCTCCATGTTAACTATTCCCCAAAGTAAACCAGCAGGGGAGATTAGTCAGGCCGTATACTCAGTTCCTTACTGGAGTCTGCGCTTGATGTTCCATGTGAGCTTCCGACTTAACACACACACACACCACTCAGCCCTGAGTCAGAGGGCAGGCTTTACACTTAGGAGTTGTTCTTGATACAATCTATACCTCTTGCCTCTTTTACTCCCTAAAGACTGTTCATTTATTTTTTTCTCCTAAACCTTTACCAACTCCGGCCCTTCCTCTTCCTCTCTACGACCCATCACATTGGCCAAGGCAGCCTGATGAGGTTCCCACACTTGCCCTTGTGCTTTCTAATGCTCTCAACACTGTAGCCCAATAAACAAGGGAACAACGAACTTAAAGTCTATCGGGAGAAAGATCAGAATCTTAGCATGCCCCTGGGCCCTGAGTGACCCCGAATCCACCAGCTACATCTTGTCCTTAGCTCCCTCCCTCCTTCAAACATCATCTGGTTTTTCTAATCAGTTTCTTCCCGCAGAGCCTCCAAGGGTTTTCACGGACTGATGGCACTTTTCCTTCTGGTCCTCTTTCTATGTAACCCTCCAGATTTATTTGTTCTATTTTATGTGCAAGTGCTCTGCCTTTACCTATGTATGTGCATCATGTATGTTCCTGGTGCCTACTGGAGTCAGAAGAGGTATCCAGTGCCCTGGGAGTTATAGATGGTTGAGCTGCCATGCCGGTGCTGGGCACCACGTGGTTTCAGGTCCTCTGGAAGAGCAACATGTGCTCTTAACTGCTGAGCCATCTCTCCAGCCCCATGAAATTATCTCTTAAAGCATCTCCTCTTTGACCCAAGCATTTGCCTTTTAATCTAGCCATAGAAAAGCTTCAAACCAGGACTTAGGATGCAGAAGCGAGAGGATTCTCACAAGTTCAAGGCCAGCCTGTCTACAGAGTGATTTCCAGGCCAGCCAGGGCTACATAGCAAGGTCCTGTCTTTTAAAAACAAAGTCTCCTTTTTATAAAATGTGTGTGTGTGTGTGTGTGTGTGTGAGTGTGTGTACATACCTGCATGAGTGTATTCGTAACACATGAATGTAGGAGCCAGAAGAGGAAGTTGGATCTCTTGAAACCAGAGTTATAGGTGGTTGTGAGGTACCATGAACGCAGCCCAGAGCTCACAGCCTCTTATAACTTGGCTTTTCAGGAGCTCTGAATGGCAACTTTGGAGTTCCTGCTGTGTGGGTTTTGCTTCTTGGCAAAAATCTTTACAATGAATAATAGAAAAGCCCTGATAGGTCTCCAGTCTGTCTCCCCCAAACCAGAACGGGATAATTTCCTACATTAGGCCCAGCTAATGTTTGATCTGATTTAATTTTTAATATTTTGGATGGTGACTCTCACAAGTGTGCCGAGGAAGCCATTTCATAATTCAATATTTCTTTCCCAGATAGGGAGTGTTTCCAGTAATCAATCCAAATGTTTAAATTTATTTTGTTCTCTTGGAGATGAAGTGCTTCCTCTCTGTGAAAGGTAAAAATTTCCAAATATGGTACTAGTATACACCATCTCCCCAAGGGACAATCTATTTCCTTAGTCTGCAAAAAGAAATTAATATTCCCAACCAATGGTTTTTCCTTGCTTTTCTGCAAGCCTATAATTTTCTTCTATCCTCTTATTATCTTCATAAACTTATTTCTTACTTTACAATGAAAAAGATGGCTATGAACCAGAAAGACGGTTTAGCAGGTAATGGTACCTGCTTCCCAGCCTCCCTCCTGATAATGACGACAACGATGATAATAACAACAACAATAATCATAACAGAGAAAATGAAAAAGGGAAAGTTATATAACAAGTTGAGACAGGCAAATGTGAAAGCATCAAAGAAGCATGACCGTCTGGATGGCAGGAGCGAGGGGTGGATGCACAGTGGCCATGCTCATTCAGGAGCCCCATGAGGGAACAGGGCGTTCATGGCCAGCACCCACAGCTGACCTGTGGCAATAGACTGTAGGAAACCCAGATGGATGCCTGTGCAGAGGAGGCAAGATGGTGACAAGGGCAGAGGATCTATGATCCCTGTGTGGCTGATGTGACAGAAATCAGCGGCAGATTAGAGGGCCCGTACAAGGCAAGCATGTCATCTGGTGGCTGACAACTATCTAACTCCAGCTCCAGGTCTGAACCACTCTTCTGGCCTCCAAGGGCAATGACATACAAATAACGCGCACACACACATACACACACACACACAAATAAGAATAAAACAAATCTTTACAAAATGTGGAAATGGAACAAAACCACCAGAGCTTAGCTTTCAGCTGGGATACTGGGTAAGTGAGGAGGCCCCTTAGTTGTATCAGGACCTACATTCAGTTTTGAGAAAGAAATGACTTGAAGTCAGTTTTGTTATGCTGAGTCTGGTGACTTAGAAACACCAAGTTCCCCCTGGGTTAAGATGGCTTTGAGACAATGGCTCACAAAGCCTCAATACTAAGTCAGCCTGATTTTCTGAGTTCTAACTCAAAAGGCAAAACATTTTCTTTCTTCCTTTTTAGCCCTTCTTTAGATACTGGCCCAAATCCTAAGCATGTGTACCCTGAAGTCTGAGCCTGAGACGTCCTCACTTCCCCTTCTGTCCTATGCAACTGCTTGGCCACCTTCACTGCCAACCTGCTGGTTCTCTTGGACCCTTAACTGATGGGCACGAGTCTTAGTTTCTTTCTTCTTTGTATCCACTTCCCCCCTCTTAGTAGCTTGCCTGCACTGTTCTTAGTTTTCTCTCAAATCACCATAAAATGACCCTCAAGTTTCAGAACAAAAGGAGGCATTGTCTTTGTAGGTCTGAAGTTTGAGGACATAGCAGGGCTGCAACTCCACTTGTGAATCATACATACATACACACATACATACATACACATACATGCATACATACGTACATATATATACACACACATACAGACATACATATAATTACATTATATAGATATAGTAACTTGATAATTTTAACATTACATACATAAATGAAAGACAAAGATATTTTGAGATCACCCAAGAGGAAAGAATAGCTACAAAAAAAACAATAGCTACATGGAAAAGAGCTGTGGGACTTTGCAACAAGTGAAGGTCAAACCAGAGGATCTGAGGAAACAAGGAACATCTCTGGCCCAAGGATCAAGGTTTCCAGAGTGTGTGTGGGCCTGAAGGTGCCACAAACAGCTGGGTGCCACCCCTCTTGCGTTTTAGTCTTTAAAAAATTCCAGTTCCCAGGGGTTGCTCAAAGTTCTGCTTGCTTTCCGTGTTAGTACATTCCGGGTGCGACCCACGTTCCTCAGACTGAGTAATTTACTACTTCCAGGAGTCCATTGCCCATAGTTTTGGAAGCTGGGGGGTTTAAGATCAATGTGCCAGAAGAACTGGTGTCTGGTCAGGTCCCCTTCTTCACATGTGGGACAGCGATTGGGCAAGCATATGAAGAAAGCCCTTTGGGACTTCATTCACAGGGCACTAAACCTCATCCGTTAGGATGGACCTCTTGTGACCTAATTACTTCTTAAAGGCACTTTTGACACTATCATACTGTGGGTTAATTGTCAACACACAGTTCACAACCTTGTCTGAAGTGTCTGGGGCCAAATTGGCTGATATCTTATTTCTCCACCTCCCTTCCTTCCCTTCCTTCCCTTCTCCTTTCTCCCCCCTTCTCTTCCCCCTTCCCCCTTTCTCTTCCTCCCTTTGCCCTTTGCATTCTCTGTCTCTGCCTTTCCCTTCTCTTCTCTTCTTTTAGATTTTGAGATATTTGCTTACAAGTTTACTATCCCTACACACCTCTCACCCCCAGAATAAGATCAAGAATACTTGGTCTTGAGATGAAATGTCAAGCTTTAGAGCATTTTTCATTTTATATTTTTAGATTGTGGATGCTAAACCTGTATGAATGGGGGCCTTGCAAACATTCAGGCCACAGCATTACCTGCGCTAGAAAATAGTTTGCATCACATTGCCTGTGTTCAGTGCTCACTGTTGCCAAATTTAGGTAAAGGTCCTGGTGTTTATTTAGTGCAACCTCCCACACTGTTGGAAAGTGTCCCAGTGAGCTTTTCTGTCGCTGTGATAAAACATTAGCCAAAAGCAACTGGAGGGGGAAGGTTAATTTTAGTTAACCGGTTGGTTCATCAGGCATGATGAAGGCAGCAGCTGAAGCAGGGGCCACTGAAGAAGGCTGCTTTCTTCCACAGTGAGGACTGCCTGTTTCGGGGTGGCACTGACCAAAGGGGGGGGCTTCCCATTTAGATCATTAATAATAGTAATAAAAAAGGCTGGGCATGGTAGCCTACACCTTTAATTTCGGCACTTGAGAGGCAGAAGCAAGCAGATATCTGTGAGTTCGAGGCCAGCCTGGTCTACGAAGCAACTTCAGGAGAGCCAGGGCTATATAGAGAAACCATGTCCTGACACCCTCATCCCCCTCACCCGAAAGAAGCCCTAAAGACATGCCCGCAGGCTTATCTGGTGTTGACATTTTCTCAATTGAGGTTCCTGCTTCACAGCTGACTCATTTGGGTCAAGCGGATGAAACTAAACAGCACGGAGAGTGAGCTGAGGATCGTAGGCAGATTGCCTCTTGGTAAATTCTAGGCAACAAACAGTGAGCTATGCCAACCTAACTGAACAAATGATGAAGGAAAGTGGCATATGAATGTATTGTACTTTGTGTTTAGTAGTTTACATTGTGTGTGGTGTGGTTCACTCTGTTATGTTGTACCCACCACCCTTATTGGTACCAATAGTCCCTAACTTGACCAGTAGGAGGAGCCAGCTGGGGGTAGGCCTGGCAAAAGCTTATAGAGAGAACGGTGGGCAACATGGCAAACATGTTTCTTAGTATGTCTGGGCGACACATACCAGGAATAGGAATAAGAATCGGGTCTAGCTCTGCTGTGTCTCTTTAGCTACGTTCTTTTGTTGTTCAGACAAGGTCTCATGCAGCCCAAGCTGGCCTCAGATTTGTTGTGCAGCTGAGGATTACCTTGAATTACTGGTCTTCCTGCTTCCATCTCCCCAGTGCCTGGATTACTGGTGTGCACCACACCACACTTGGTGCTGGAGATGGACCTGGAGAATTTGTGTGTGCTCGGCACTCAGTCTACTAACCGAGCACATTTCCTGCCGACTTTTGCTACTTTTTAGTTTAAGGTAGTAGTCTCTTTGGTATGTAGCCCAGGCTGGGGTAGAATCTGTGCTCCTCCTGCCTCTACCTCCCGTGCTGGGATTACAGGGATTAAAAGTATCATCCACCAATACTCTCATTGTATTTACTTTCAGCTATTAAAGCGGGAATTAAAAAAAAAAAAGTGTACAGTCTGAGGTCCGGAAAGATTAGTTTTGTTCACAGTGTCTGAGCAGGCAGGTGCTCATCCACAGTCGAGACAATCGCCATCGAGTATTCTATAACCAGGGGGAGATATTGTCCCCTGAAAAGGGCCACTAAGGCTGTCCCCCCAGTCAGGACACAACATACCATCAAAGAGCCTGCAAACGCATGTTGGCTCCTCCCCCATCCTTTCGTTTGCGGGGGGGTTGGGGGGGGAACGGGGACACACACTTATGCCACTGAGAAGGCAAGGCTCCCGCTGAGAGCCCCTGTTGCATCCCTGGCTCTGTGGTCAGTGTGTTCACAGGAAGCGCTTTCTTCTCACAGACCTGAGGACCACCGAAGCGCTTGATTCCTGATTTGCTTCATCAAGACACCAGGTAAGGAAGCTGTCGTTCCCAGGTTGCCTCTGAGGAAGAGAACCTGGGTAAAGACAACTTCACATCTGTCTGAATGAAGGATGAGAGGGTGACCTTTCGCATTCCTAGGCTTGCAGGAATGCCTTAAAGCTCAGTGCAATGACTCAGCAAGCACGGGGCAGGGCTTCAAAATCAACGCCGGTGTCTGACTTTTCTAATCTTTAAGCAGAAGCAGAAGCCCTTACAAAGGAAAGGGAACAATAAATAAAACATTTCCAAAAAACAAAAACAAAAACAAAACAACAACAACAAAAAAACCCTACCCCAAACTTCCATTTTGCCTTATACTACAGTTTTAAACGAAATGAACATATTGCAGGCAGATATAGAGGCAGAATTGAATTCAAAGAGAAATCATTGCCAACCACATGATAAGTACTTTGAGGATTCAAGCACAGCATCCTCTATAGGGAGCACCGTTAATTGGGAGCATCGTCATTGGGGGAGCACCCCCACCAGGGAGCACCCTTATGGGGCCGGTTCCAGATAACTAACAATACGATCCTGGGCAAAACAGCAAAAATCCTTACCACTAAGTATTTCCCATGAAGTTTACCAAGGGTGGGGGGAGAAGATTATGTTACATAAACATTAGATAATGCTAAGTATGAAAAAGAAAAAAGTCACAGATGTGGAGCCAACTATAAAACATGGGGTGAGGGTTATGATTCAGACAGAATGGTTTTAAGGAAGCTTTGTGGGAAGGTATAGAGACCTGGATAAGGTAAGAAAGAGAGGCATGCAGATATCTGGGAAAGGGCATGTCAGACAGTAAAACGGTACCTGAAAATGTTCTAAGGAATGGACACATCTGCATAGAGGCTGAAGCCGAGTGGACATGAGTTGAGGTCAGAGGTGTGATTAAGGGCCTGACAGTGAGTTTTCTGGTTGGGTGACTGACTATAGGAGGCTCAATACTGGCTAGCTCTTTGTATTTGGATGAACACTTATGCATTAAACACATACACACACACACATACATGCACACGCACACACATACACACACAAGAAGGAAGCAGGAAAGAGAAGGAGGAGGGGGGGAGGGAAGCAGAGTGAGATCTACCTGCTGAGGTCTTAATGTGTCTCAGATATATCAGATTCTCCTTTTTTTCAGAACAGGAATTCACTAGGGCTACAAGCCAGACAAGCACCAGCAATAACTCATTAACCCATGTTCAGCCATTGGTCACTGGAAGTGGCTTGCCCACACTCCATCTTTCACATGGAAATGGGCAGAACCATACATCTTTTGTTTTTGCTCATGGCTCTGCCCCCACAGAAGTGGTACTGGGGAACTCTTGGAAGTGGCTCATGGGTCACTTGGGACAGGAAGAACCACACATGAGAATGGTCATGTCATTCAAAAATTTGACCAAATAACTGTCCTAAACGTTCACCCACTTTGGAGTTTCCAAACTAATGGCTGGTAAACTGGGAAGAAGCCACACTGACTGAATTGAAGAACCTTCTGGAAGTCCATAAAACACATATAACATATACCATTACCAGAAACTCAGAAAGGGTTAGAAAGACTGATAAAACAGCTCTTCCTTCCCCTCCTCTGCCTCCTCACTCCTCTTTTTTCTTCCCTTTTCCTCCCTCCTTCCCTCTGTCCCTTGTCTCTTCTCCCCTAGGATCTTCTACACTGAGCATGCTCACTTGGGCCCACCTCTGAGAGCATGACGTTAGCCTTTCTGATTGCAGAACTTCTGTGTCTTACGGGTTCTGGTTTGAGTCTGGTCGCTGTCCAGGCTGCGGAGCTTCATGGAGACCTGTCCATCTGTATTTGAGTATATTCTTACAAAGCCTTTAGTAAGTTCCAGCATGTAAAACTGGCCCCTTCCAGCCGGTTGGTCGGTCGGTCGGACGCTCTGTCCTTTGGCAAATGTAGCACATGCCATGCCTGAAAGTTCTCCTCACTAGGCACCCTGCCAACCATGCTTCCTGGGAGGGGACAGCTGGGTGGAATTTCCCCTTGGGCCAGATGCAGCACCAGCCACCCCGGCAGCAGACGTGTGCAAGATAAACTCAGAGGATCCTACGCACTGTTTTCTTGGCTAGGAGGACTTTTGTTTTGTTTTAGGGAGAGGGTATTTTGAAACATGGTCTTATGTAGGCCAGGCTGGCCTTGAAATTCCCGTGTGGCCCAATGTGACCTTGAACTTTGAATTCTCCTATTTCTACCTCCCAAGAGCTGAGAGGATTGTGGATGGTTTCTTCAGTTCCAGCTTCAGTGCGTCCCTCTGGGAACACCGTTGGTACCCTGGTGACACGGAGGTTTGCTAAGCACATCAGCCTTGTGCAAACTATGCTGCACTAGCATTTAGGTAAAAGTAAAATTATTCTTGATGCTTAGAAGGACCAGAATGATTGAACGCCTTCTGGGGGGAACTCCAGAATGCCTTGTCCAAATGACCTTGGCGAGCCCTGCAGCGTTTACACTTATGCTGCCTGCTCAGTTGAAATGAACTCATATTTTGCTATATCAGCCAATATTCTTATGGATCCATGCCCAGAAATGAACTCATAAAGTTGAATAATTTTTTTAGACCATTGATTTATGATCCAACAGGAGTTTATCCTTTAGTAAATATCATGTATTGGTTGGCTTAGAGATGAAAAAAATTTTTTTTTTGACATGAAGTATCAAATCTAGAGGTTAAAAGAATTATGTGTGGCCAGGTGTCTTAGTTAGGGTTTCCATTGCTGTGAAGTGCAAACAAGCTTTTACTAAAAAAAAAAAAAAAAAGGGCTGGAGAGATGGCTCAACGGTTAAGAGCACTGACTGCTCTTCCAGAGGTCCTGAGTTCAAATCCCAGCAACCACATGGTGGCCCACAACCATCCATAAAGAGATTTGATGCCCTCTTCTGGTGTATCTGAAGACAGCTACAGTGTACTTATAAGTAAAATAAATAAATATTTTAAAAAAAAAAAAAAACCAAAACAACGTTTAATTGGGGCTGACTTATAGGTTCAGAGGTAGAGGAGCTGAGAGTTCTATGTCTTGATCCAAGGCAGCTAAGAGAAGAGACTGTCTTCCAGGTAGGTAGGAGGAGCATCTCAAAGCCCACTACCACAGTGACACACTTCCTCCAGCAAGGCCACACCTCCTAACGGTACCATTTCCTATGGGCCATACATATTTAAACCACCATTCCAGGCAAGGTGCACGACTTTAATTCCAGCACCTGGGAGGCAGAGGTAGGCGGGTCTCTGAGCATTCAGGGGCCAGCTTGGTCTGAGTTTCAGGACAGCTAAAATTGTTACATAGAGAAACTCTGTCTCAAAAAAAGTTTCTATGTTGAATCCTATAACACTGTATGAAATAAATGGGCATCATTAAAAAATTATTTTTAAAACTCTGAAAAGAATTCAAATATCTTTCAATAAATTTAATTGCATAAATCCTGTTATAGCCACATGCTGGAATACTATACAGGTGTCTTAGTTAGGGTTTTACTGCTATTAACAGACAACATTGTAGCAGCATATTCATACCACCCCCAAGTTGGGAGGAGCTAAGGTAGGAGGAGTAAGGAGAGGAAGAGCAGGGGTAAGGAGAGGAAGACGGGAAGGAAGAGGAGGAGCTGAGGAGCAGAGATGTAGGAGCCATGGATGACCACGCATGTACCGAGAGCAGTCCTGGGTAACAGCTTATATCTAGGTTAGTTAATTAGTTAACACTTCCAATTGTGTGGGCATCTTGTTTATTGAGTATTATCAAACTTAAAAAGCCTTTGGATAATCTAAGCATTAGAGTCTCATTTCTACCAGGTACCTTGTGGATGGCAGGATGGTCTGGGCCCAGCCCAACCTTGTGGAGACAGTGTGGAAGATTGGCAGAGCCATCTCCCACGCTGGTGTCTCATGGGTGGCAGAGCTGGTGGCTCTGGCTGCCCGAGCCAGAGGCCTGAGCCAAGCAGTGGTGAAAATACTTGGCCTCAGGCCTAGACTAGTCAGGAAGATGGTGGCTGTTTAAGAACAAGCAAGATTGGGAGCCACCATTTTAAATTATTACTTCAATACATCATGATTAAGGCAACTCTTATTTCTTTGGGGCTGGCTTACAGGTTCAGAGGTTCAGTCCATTATCATCAAGGAGGGAACATGGCACCATCCAGGCAGGCATGGTGCAGGAGAAGCTGAGAGTTCTACATCTTCATCTGAAGGCTGCTAGCAGAATACTAGCTTCCAGGCAGCTAGGATGAGGGTCTTAAAGCCCACACCCACAGTGACATACCTGCTCCACTCCAACAGGGTTATACCTTCTAATAATGCCACTCCCTGGACTGAAGATATACAAACCACTACAACAGGTGAACAAAAGAATGAGAAAAACAACAAGAAAGAAAGTGAACAGGTGAGGAAAGAGGTCTAAAACATAGTAATAAAAAAAGCAAAATTCAGAAAAATTTTCTATGCTTTGATAAAGAAGGAGGGTGCGTATTCACAAATTGTTGGCACATCCATTAACTCATTCTAGAAATAAGTATGTTTAAAATACAGGAAACAGCGGTTCCCTGTGGGGTGTAGAAACTGGGAAACAGGAGAGAGATTTGCTGCAGGTGTTGTTGTGTGTGTGTTAAAACATGTTGGTTTTAACCCAAGAGAATGCACTGCCTACTTAAAAATCTAAATTAAAGAAGATTACCTGTATCTCAGAGCCAGGTCCAAATCAGGCCCTCGAGACACTTCTGCACTCACATTTCCCTCCATTATCCTTCTTTAATTAGACATACTTACTGTAAGCCCCCGTTAGGTACAGCCCTCAGCAGGCATGGTTCTCGTTGACGCTACATGGATGAATTAGAATGAGTTAAGCAAACCAATCACGGTCAGTCAGGCCGGACAGTTCTTCCTCTGAGCTCGTTGAATGACCAACTCCATCTCATCCCTCTCATCCTCACTGCCTTCTGTAGATGGTGCCCTCGACCATTTCCTGTGAACCTCACAGGCCAACAGTTATGTTTCTCATTAACTATTCTTTATAGCATGCATGGTTACTTGAGCAAACCTAAAAGATTTTTAATAAAAATTTTAATTACTAGTTAACAGTTTAAAATAAAATATAATTACATCATATCTCCCCTCTTTTCTTTCCTCACTCCAGCCCCTCTGTGTCCTTTCCGTCAACTTCTACATGTCCTCACCTTCTCTCAAGCTGATGGCCTCTTTCCTTTGATTATTATTGTTACACACACACACGCACACACACACACACAAATGCAACCTACCAAGTCCATTTTTGCTGTTTGTGTATATATGATTTCAGAGCTCACCTGGATAATCAGTGGGGGGCTCATTGTGGGGTAAGCTAACTTAGACAGGATCTGTATAAGGGAAGTCCAGAGGAAAAGATGGTGAGCAAGTCAGGACAGAAAAACACCAGACAGTGTAGTGGCTCACACCTGTAATCCCAGCACTCAGAACACTGAGGCAGAAGGATTGTGAGCATGACCCATCCCCTCTGCTGGGCTACATAACAAGGCCTTTTGTCAACCAACCAACCAAAGGGAAAGATTGTTCCTCACTCTGCTCTTCCTCATAACTCAGACAGTCCCAGAGCTGAGAGGCCCCTGACGTTAGGTCAGTCTTCAGAGTGCAGAGACCAGAGGGTGAGCTTGGAAGGGGAAATAAAAAACATCCTGCACAAATGTAGTTAAGTTTCCTTGATGAATCCTTTCTTGTGTATCCTCTTGAAAGCCACTCAAGAGAAAGAGTTTACTAGGAGCCAGTGAGTTAGAAACATTAACCACTATAACCAATTGACCTGACAATGAATAATACCACATGCTTTATTTCTGATTCACACAGCAGTCCTAGGAAAGCCCACATAGCATGGGATGTGGTGGGGAGGGGGTGCCTCCTTCCTAGAGTCACTTGAGCATCTGGGCTGATGGGGGCTCTGTTTTGGTGGCCTTCCAGGTTACACTGGGGGTCATCTCTAGACCATATACCTGCAAAAAGCAACCAAGAAGGATGGGAGATTATACAGAAAATGTCAGTGGGCCAGACTTTAATAATAAAAATGAGAAAATAATTTGTTTGCACTTCTCTTGAGCTCAAATGCCTGGAGACCCCTGGTACTCCATGTAGATACTTGGAATATTCTTCAATCATGGAGACTTAGCTGTGCTGGCCATGGTGTGGGTTGGCAAGTGTATAATTCTATTTTCAAACTTATAGAGCTTTTCTCTCTCTTTCCTTACAATGAAAACTCTGCTTCCGGTTGCACCCTCTCTTTGGATGGCTGTCATCTGTAAAGATGTGGGATAAGCCCAGTCAGGTCTTCCAAAGTGGCTAAGAGCCCAGCTGGAATAGATGCTGACAGTAGTTGGAAGAAAGTAACAAGGTAGGCAGAGAGACCAGACTGCTTAGAGTCCAGGAGCCCAGGACAGAGATCCAAAATGAGCCATCAGGATCCACTGTCAAAATCAATCGTCACCATGGCTTTTCCTCCCTGTGTCTCTGCTCCCTCCTCATCAGCTCCAGACACACACACAGTCCCTGTCCTGTGGGCCCTGTGGGCTGTTCTGGTGCCCATCAGAGTGACTCACACGAACACACTCCCACGAAATTCTGACTCCATCGTAATAGCAGCCTTCCTGAATTATGGACTTTTTCCAGAAACATTAACACGTGCAGGCAAGGATTTGAATAAAAGAAAGAATGGACAATTATGCATGTAGCTTTAGCTTGAGTCTCCCAACCAATTTTCTGGCAGGTATAATAATCATTTTCTTTAAACTGGCATGAGCCTGATTCGGGTATTGTGTATAGGAAAAAAACCCAAACAAAAGTTAGTTGCTTTTGCTGTTGCTGTGGCAGAATTTGTGGAAGACAAAGGTTCGGGAAGAAGCGTTTGTTTCAGATTAAGGTTTGAGGGATACAGTCTAAAGTGGTGAGGAAGGCAGTCCAACCAGTGGGCTGTGCCAATGGGAGGGTGAGGCAGCTCATTAAAGAGGCAGTTTGGGGAACTGGCCGGAACTAGAGCCCAGAGGTTCAGTCCCCTCTGGTCCCTCATTGGTCAAGTAGACTCCATGTCTAAAAGGTTTTGCAGTGCCACAGCTGGGGACCAACTGTTTAAAGGCAATGTCTGAGAGACATTTCACATTGAAATCATTGTGATCACCATATCCTGTGTTCTGGGGCATAGTCTGACCCACTTCCTTTTCAAAAAGAATATATCTGTACCATGATTTATAATAGTGTGTCTTCTGGGAATCACAGCAAGGGCCTGTGCATGCTGCTTAGGTACTGTCACTGAGGCACACCCTTAACTCGTCTTATTTTGTTATTGTTGTTGAGTCTCATTATGACCTGGCTGGTCTAGAACTTACTTTTACTAGCCTCAAGTGGTCATTACTATTCTGCTTCTTTGGTGAGAGGTAGAGAGGACTTGTACCTCAGGCCAAGCATAAAGGGTTGATTTAAAGTGGGTATCAGGGACACCAGAGAGAGGCCAGATCAATGGGTAGAACAGCTTTTCCTGATTTCCTGGCATGGAGATGACAATAAGCACTAAATCTAATGACTGGTCAGAGAGCCCTGAAACAGAGTCACGCAATGAGAAGATGGCCCAGGAGGACTGGGGCAGACATTATGGCTTTGTACTGTCAAGTAGGAAGGCTAGGGCCACCAGAAGTCACAAGAGGCTCTGCAGCCTCCCCAGAGAATGTGTCCTTAACAACCCTGTGACTTCATACTCCTGACCTCTGGAAGCACAATAGACAGACAGACAGACAGACAACAGACAGCTCAGTGCTGCTCTCAGATATGGATTCTCACAGTAGCTCAGAAGGTGAGCCTGGTGCTGACCGTGCAAGGATGTCTCCTAGCATAAGTGACTCCAGTCTTCCTCATGACCCCTTACAGTCATATCACTAGCTATATTGGTAGATTTTTTTTTTCAAGACAGAGTTTCTCTGTGTAGCTCTGGCTGTCCTGGAACTCACTCTGTAGACCAGGTTAGCCTTGAGCTCAAAGATCCACCTGCTTCTGCCTCCAGAGTGCTGGTACTAAAGGTGTGAGCCACCATGCCCAGCAATGAGTAGAATTTTTATTTTTAAACAACCAATTTCTACATGCTTAGAGCTCTCAGTTCAAAATACCCAAGAAAATATCTTTTGATGGCTCGAGGAGAGGGGAAAGTGAAAAAAAAACAAAGGTAGGGGAAATTTTTAGAAAATATATATCTTTTTTGTGCTCTACAGGGTTTTTATTTTGGGTTTGGTTTGGCAAACAAAGTTTTACTTAGCTACGAGAGGGAGGGAGGGAGGGGTCTCAAAAATTAGTTGCCCTGTCTGAGACTGTTTTTAGTCATATTTACTTACTTATTGGGGAGGGGGTGTCACGGTGTCACATAGAAGTCAAAGAAGACTTATAGGGATCAGCTCTCTCCTTAGTGATGTGAGAGCCAAGGTCAGGTCATCAGCCTTAGTGGCAAGTGCCTTCATCCACCAAGCCATCTTGCTGCCGGCCCTGTGTGAGCTTATAGTCTGTGCCTTCCCTTTCTAAACCACAGTTAAGGAGAGCAGTGGATAGCATTTTTAGTGCTCTGCCAACAGCAGTGTGATGCGGCTTCCACAGTACCAGACAGTATCGTCTAACCTACAACCACATAATGAAAACGGAAAGTGGATTTGTTGATAAGTTTGATAAACACCTGTGAGGTTTTCAAGTTTTGTTAGGCTGTGACTAACGGAAATTTGAGTACAAAGCCAATTCTTTCTCTACATGTTTAATCTTTGTTAAACAACTTTGGACTGGGGGACTGCTTTTTTCTCTTCTTTAAGATGAGTGAACACCTGAAGACAGGTGATGAGCATGGTGGTGTAGACCTTTAATTCTAGCACACAGGAGGCAGAGACCGGCAGGTCACTGTGAGTTCAAGGCCAGCCTGATACAAAGTGAGTACACACAAAGTAACCAGTGACTGAGGCAGAAACCATCCTGCTGTGGTGTGTTCTCCAGCCTTCTGTTCTAGCAACAGGTTTAAAAACTTTAGTCTTCACTCTACCCAGCCTGTCGTTATTTACTCAGGATAACACTTTGATTTCAGTTATATCTAAAGCATCCTAAAGGCCTTTGGAAATCGTGGCAAGGTTTAGGAACGTACTTTAAATGTATCGGCCTGATGCTCATTTGCTTCTGGGACACTCCCTGCACCCCACCCTACCCCGGCCCCAAACAGTAAACACTATGGTAAAGAACTCAGAGAGGCCCAGGGAGACAGCCATCAAGAAGTCAAGGACCTCAATCTGACAGTCTGCAATGGAATAATGAATCCCGTTAATACCATGTGAGGTGGAGGCAAGTCCTTATCTCATGGAGCCTCTGGTGCACCCCACCCCAGCGCCC